AGATAGAAAGCGAGAAATCACCCCCTCAGGGGGGATGGCCATGCCGCAATCCCTTTCCTTCCATTTTCTTCTTGAGGTCTTGGGTATGCACGCACATGCGCCCAGCATGAGTTGAAGCCACCAAATCTGGAACTCGAACTGTGGTCAACTACATGGGAGTCCAGCAACATAGCCATTATGCCAACTGCTGGTCCTGAGTTAATCCATACTTCTAAATAACATGAGGATATTGCTGTTTCTTGACTTTCCAGTTTTAGACCTTTTCTATTGACTTCCTACTATGGAACATGAGGACTTCGAGCTCTTTCACCCCTATGTTCCAGCTGTGCATTCATTTTCTGCTCACCCCCCTTCTCTTTCCATCCCCCAATAGAATTAAAATGAAATTTTAATTAGATCAGTATTTACTGCCTACATTATTATGACTGCCTAGAATTTTTTCTAGAATTAATTTTTTTCTAGAATTAATTTTTTCTAGAATTAATCATTGTACCCCCCCACCCCCCGTTAGTTTTATTTTCTATTTATCTTCCACCTCTTTGCCACTTGTCTCAAGCATCTCTTTATCCATTCAGGAATTACTGATTTATTTTCTTCAGTGAATTTTCCTGGACCCTTCTGAACAGGTCACCCTCTTTGTCTGACACTGCGATTTCTTTATCACCATTCTGAGGATTCTTTCACTTTTCTTTCGAGTTGTAGATGTCTGGTGTCAGGGTCCCATGCCTTCCTCCACCCTGGTTTAGGGTATATGAGAAGTAACTTTTTCCACACCTTGTGTGTCTGAAAATATCCGCACTTTATAGAAATACTTGCTAGATAGTTTTGCAAAATATAAAATGTTTATTAAGTAATAAATATTTTTCCTTTAGAATTTTCTAAGTGCTTCCCGTTGCCTTCTAGCTCTGAGGATTGCTGTTGCAAAGTTCGAAGTATTCGGATTTGTGATCCCCCTTGTATATGGCCTGCTCTTTTCTTTCTGGAAGAAATATCACAGTGACAGCCTTTGATTTAGGTGTGTTTTCATACATTATGCTCCACAGTAATTGGGCCCTTTTAATCCAGAAACTCATGCCCTTCAATACTGACCTATTCTTTTTTAGAATTATTTTCTGTGTTCTCTTATTTCTAGAAATCGTTTTATTCAAAGGTCGAACCTCTTGACTAGTCCTCTAATTTTTCTCTTTTTTGTTTTTCATCTTTTTGCTTTATTTTCTGGAAGTTTTTTTTTCATATTTGTCTTTTAATTATGTATTAAGTAATGTGTAATTATTTTTTTGATTATATACTGAGGTGTTTTTTTTGTTTGTTTGTTGTTTTTTTTGCTATAGGATGTGTGCACTTGCCAGAAAGAGAGACAGAGAGACAGAAAGCGAGAAATCACCCCCCAGAGTGGATGGCCACGCCACAATCCCTTCTCCTTCATTCTTCTCTGGGGATCTTGGGCACGCATGCACACGTGCCCAGCGTGAGTTTAAGCCACTGGGTCCGAGACGCGAACTGCGGTCGACTACATGGGAGTTCAGCGACATAGCCATTATGCTAACTGCTGGTCCCTCCATATTGAGTTTTTAGTACTGCCTTTGACTTATTTAAT